CACAAGAACCTGAGTTTGATCCCTGGTACTTCATGCTGTACCACCCTGGAACCGCATGGTGTAATCCCAGTTTTGGAGAGGCTAAGACAGGAGGATCACTATGAATCTGAGCTGTGTAGTGAGATCCTGTACCACATAAATAAGAATAAATCTTGCATCTTTGCCCATGGATTCTGTTTCCATAGTTCTTTTTTAGCATTCTCTTCATTATCCTGTAATGAATTCCTGTTTGATTGGTGGTGATACTTCTGCATCAGTTCTTCATATCACTTTACTCTTTATGTTCTTTCTTTTAGACCAGTCTTTAAGCTTATTAATTAGTTCTTAATCTGAGCTCTTTTGGCTCTTCAGCCATTCGATTTTTTTTTTCTCCTTTTAAATATCCTTGATCTTTTTCATTTCTAAGATACCTTGTTATTTTTAAACTATCTCATATATTTATCATACAACCACATTTTTTGAGGTAAAATTGGCGTAGTGTAAGATTTACCATTAACCTCTGAAGTGTACAAGGGAGTGTGTCCTTTAGTAAATTCAGAATGTTGTATGAGCAAAATACTATTGAGTTGTGCATTATTTTCTTTTTCTTTTTTTTTTTTTTTTTTTTTTTGGCAGAACCGGGCATTGAACTCAGGCCAGAGTTCAGTTGAACTCAGCACTAATTCTACTGAGCCATCTCCCCGGCCCCTGTGCATTATTTTCATCTCCTGAAAGAAACCTTATAGCCACTAATAGTTAACTCCTCATTCTCCCTTGCTCTCTTTGGGAACCATAAATCTAGTTTTCTGTTTCTGTGAATCTGTCTGTTGTGTCTTATATAAATTGAATCCTGTAGTATGTAGTCTTTTGAGTTTGGCTCTTTTTATTTAGCATAATATTTTCAGGATTCATTCATATTGTATTATGCGTTGTCTTGGTTAGTTTTCTCTCTTGCTGGAGCAAACACATGACACTCAAAAGGAAGGAAAGGTTTATTTAACTCACAGTTATGAGAGATTTCAGTTCATACTCAGCTGGCTCCAAGGCAGTGTGACACATTGCAGAGAGTAACCTTTCATGGCGGTGGCAAAGAGTAGAGAGTAGATGGGAGGAATCGTGGCAACAATCCAACAATGGCTGCAGAAAGCAGGTCTGTCTCCTTTATGTTGCATTCAGGCTATCAACCCAGGCCAGGTAGAGCAGTCAGACCCATAATCCCAGCACTGGATTATGAATTAATCACGAAGTCTAGAGGTCTGCCCCATGACAGTACAAGGATTTTGGGGGGACAACTAGACACAAACCATATCATGGATTAATTCATTTCTTTTTCTGGCTAAATAATATTGCATTCTGTGGATATATTGTATTTTGTTTATCCATTTCTCAGTTGATAAATGAGTTGTTTTCATCTTTTGACTGTGCTAAATAATGCTGGGAATTGTGTGTAAGTTTTTGTTTGGATTACTGTTTTAATTGTTTTGGATATGTACCTAGAAGCAGAGTTGCTTGGTTATTTGGTAAGCATGGCTTTTTTTGAGGAACTTCTAAACTGTTTTTTCCCTCAGGATTTAGCTTGAAACCTTGTACTGCAGTTTGTAGATCCTTTGTCAGTGTCAGCCATGTGGATGATTCACGGCCATTGCTTGACCAATTTGTGCGCTGTGAAAGCCTGAGAGAATGTTTTCTCTCCCTGTGACTTTCCTTAGGCACACTCTATATCGTCAATCACTTTCCTCTGTGGCGCCATAATCTCCTTGATCAGAAAATTTGGAACACCACTGAGTTACAGGATGTTATAGTACAGGTTCACTTATGTCCTGAGTCCTCACTGACCTTGAATGGCTAGGGCCAAAATGTTGGCTATCCTTGCAGCCCTTCTTTTTACTAATTTTTGGTCTGCCAACTTAAGTTGTTAATCCTCCAGAAGACAAGCTTAATGATATTTTTACCCTATAACACAGGCAGTTGGGATTAACCTCACTATCTGTCTGAATATCAAACATCTTAGACATAATGTGGAATAGGTATTTTTCATCAAGTATTGATACATGAAACTTTAAATCCCTACAGAATGTGAAAAAAAATAAAAAATAAACTATTAAAAAATAGGAATAAACAATTGCATGTTTTTACACAGAAATTTAGAAATCTAATCATATACACCAT